TTAAAAAAATTTATTAATAAATTTGTTAGGTTTTAACAGTTAAACCAAAAAAAAGCCATTCTTTGTTTTTCGTGCGATTATTCTACGTCAAATTCTCCTTTTCATCGTCTTTCCTTAGCATTCTTTTTCTTCAGATTTCTTTTCTATTTGTATTTTCTTCTTCATATCTCCATGTGTTCTTCACTTGTAACTTCATCATCTAGTCTTCTTCATCTTCACCAGAGTTCAAAACAAAATTTTGAAAGAAAAAAAACAAGAATTAGAAAAATGTAGATCTAAATTTAAGAGTTCAACATCGAAATACTCCTTGCGGGGGCGACGACCACCAAGCTAGAGTCACCAGTCGTGACTAAAGCTCGCCGAATGGTGAGCCATAGTTCCTGATTTGGACTTGGGCTCATCATTCGGCTATGATGAAAAAGAGGGAAAGGAGGAAGGAGAACGGTTGCCAAATCTGTTTAATATATATATATATATATATATATATATGAAAATAGTGAATATTAACTTTATCTCTTAAAAATTAGGTTAAATACATTTTTTTGGTCCTTCTACTATAGGAAAAAGTCTTTTTTTGGTTTTTGTACCGAAAAAATCTCTTTTTTAGTCCTTACTGTTCACAAATTCGACCCCTTTTTGGTCCTTCCATTAATTTTTGCTCATGTGGCATGTTAACTTAACTGAAACAGCTGACGTGGGTATGCCAACCGGTAAAAGATGCTTACGTGGACTCTACATCATCCTCCACGTAGACTCCACATCACCCTCCACGTGGACTCCACTTCCAAAAAAAAAAAAAAAAGGTGACGTGGAGTTCATGTGGAGGGTGACATGGAGTCTACGTGGAGTCCATGTAAGCATTTTTTACATGTTGGCATATCCACATCAGCTGTTTCAATTAAGTTAACGTATCATGTGAGCAAAAATTAACGGAAGAACCAAAAAGGGGTCGGATTTGTGAACAGTAAAGACTAAAAAATGGATTTTTTCGGTACAGAGACCAAAAAAGAGCTTTTTCCTATAGTAGAGAGACCAAAAAAGATATTTAACCTAAAAATTACGAAAAAAAA